AATAAAAATAAATTTAATCTGTTCGGTTAACGAATCTCCATAAAATGACGTGTAAAATTACAATTTTTTAAAATTTCAATAACTTTTTAACGGTTTAGTGAATCGATTTGTAATTTTTACAGGAGTTTTAGAATTGAATGAGGAACGTTCTTCCAAATTTTTATTTGTCCCGTAGCATTTTGACATAACTCCCAAACATCCTTAAAAAGTTCAGAACATGGACTCATATGTTTTATGTTTATTTTGAACACATTTTTTAAACCTATTAAACTTGTCTATGTTTTTTTTATTGTGAGTATTGACGTCATTAATTAGTTATGTTTTTAATAGAGTCTAAAATACGTGTTTCTAAACACTGGTTTAAACATGCAAACCTTGTGAGATGTTCTCATTATTTCATATCTATAACCAATAAGTACTTTTACTGTAGCCGATGGAATTTAAGGAATTTTGAAGTGAAACTTCTTTACGCACGGTAGGGTAAGTTCGTTTCATGCGAGTTGCTATGTAACGAAATCATGCAACGGATGTCCCCCTTCTACTCGGCCACGTAGTCGAGTTCGTAGTGGGGATCGCTTGAGCCGTGAGCGCGCTTCAATGCAACGTTCGTTACAGGCAATTCCGGCACGTATAGTGTAAAACTTAAATTCATAGTCTACAAATAATACCATTAAACCAATTCCTTAACCTCTATCCCGGTATGTTTGTGTGTTTGAACAAGTTTCACTTCAGTAGCGTGTTCTATAATTATACGTTGTATTTTGTTTTTATTATATGTGATGTTTTCATTTGTTTTTAAAAGTTTAAGTTTAAAACACTGTTCAAAAAGCTTTCATTTAAGTTATTTTATAAAACACTTTTGAAAAATACGACGTGGTGTCGGAAAATTTTCGTGCAAATGCCTTGAGCTATTTTTTTTTGTTTATATAATAAAGTAATATGATGAAATTAAAAGTTTTAAAGCAGAAAGCGGTAAGTAATTTTAGTAGGCTCCGGATGTATTAAAATTTTTTATCAAGGTCCAGAAAAAACGAACATAGGGGTATTCTACTACATACAATCATCAAAGAGCGGCGTCATCTCTTGAAAAACACGGCTTGGTATAGGAAAATTAGTACAATTATCTTCATCTTTATCTAGGTAATATAAGTTTGAAGGGTGCTACGCTTTATTCAAAAGATTTTACACGGAGAAAATGGATAAGGAAAATTTAATTTAAGTAAATATTAAAGCGATATTTACAATTTATCCCACTAGCCCCGTTGCTGCGTAAGCGAAAATAATAAAAATTACAATTTGAATCCGAATTTGTAAAAATTAAATCCCAGCAGAAATAAATTTGCTACGTATTTTAGTCGATTTTACAAATTTAATTATGTATTAATTGAGAAACTTGAAATAATTTTCANATATGATGAAATTAAAAGTTTTAAAGCAGAAAGCGGTAAGTAATTTTAGTAGGCTCCGGATGTATTAAAATTTTTTATCAAGGTCCAGAAAAAACATATTCCTTTCTCCAAAAAATTATAAGGGTGGCACTCAAAACTCAAACATACTTTATTATATACGGAAAAATATTTTTTAATAATTTATTTAGGTAATTTCAAAAAGCTTTTGGCGAACAAGTTTTTTACTTTCCTCGGTCCGGACCTGGACTGCACCAGTTGCCAATCGTTGCTTTAAAAGAATGTCACGCTTTGATCAAAGGATTTCCAGAGAAGCAGAAGATATGTTCAAATGAACGTGGTTTAACGCTCGTACGACACAAAAAGGAAAAATTTCGACGAAGGAATGCGTAATTTCAGTTTTCGATTAACGCTTTGCCTTACCTGTACGCGTACATTGTTGATTTACAGGTAAAGCGCCTGCCGAAAATAGGAATTACACATTTCTTTATCGTAATTTTTTCTTTTGATGTCCTAAACTTAATGCTATATAACTCTTAAAATCTTTTGAATAAAGCAAAGCTCTAAATTGCATTTATTGGACAATTCTTGAGTAATAAGTGCATTTTATTTTAACAAAATTATTTTCAGTTGGAAATCTCAATAAATTAAATACCTGGTGAAGCAGACACAGGTCACTATTATTGAATAAAATGAATTTATAACAATTTCTACATACATACATATATACTGTAAAATAAGAGGCTTTATTGGGACATATGCTACACTCAAATCTTTTTTGAATTTGTTTATAAGTTAATTAATATAGATATTTTTATTGATTTGTTTTTTTTTCTCGTTTAAACAGGAGACTGCTATGGACCCTGTGATGGAAGCCGATTGGTGTTAATGTCAATTACAAGTAAGTAACAAACAGATGGACCAATCCCCATTGGGAGTGTTTAATTCCCTTGTGAAGTGACCGTAAATCAAGATCATCAATTCTTGGTTCCCCGTCCTCTTCGCGTAACATAATAGTAACGCCCGGCCTGACAAAATTTGATGCGTTAAATTATCTTCAATTTTAATTTACATACAAACTAATAAGAAACTCGAAAATAGGTACATTTTTGGTTTCACTGTCTAAAACAAATTCTGTTTAAAATATAGATGTGGCGATATCCACCACATGTTTGAAAATTGTTTCATTTTGTTTACATATTGTAAATACCTTTCTAAAATATTTCTTTTCTATTTTCGATTAGTGTCTATAAAAATTACTTCCTTTTGTAAATAATCTATTGTATCTTGCTTATCTATTTAAATAACTCTATTACTGTACTTTCCTATAATCCCTGTAACATTTCATCTTTTGTGTACTAACCGCATGACGTCTGTACCTTTCATTCCTTCCTAATTACATTTTTACAATCGGTTTCTTCGGTGGTTGACCGGCCATCAATTTCTTGGTATTTCTAATCTTAAAGTTTCCATATTTTAATGCTTCCCTACTCGTATCTACTACCCTCTCTATTCCTTCCTTGTAGAACAGTTTTTCATTTTTCATAAAATACCAAATCAGTTCGTCTTACGCCTTCAGCAGAACAAGTCTCTTCTCTTCTCCTTTCGTTACGCCAGTTGTTGTTAAGTTGTAAATATATGTTGTTGTT